GACTTGATGATTTGACGGATGAGAACATCCTGATGATTTCGTTTTACACATTTCTCTTGTGGTTTGACTCGTTGAGTCCTGATTGAATGCAAAAAGTAGCACTTGTCGAAAATGCAATTTTTCGTCCACCTGACACTTCATTTCGTCGCGTTGAAAATCCAAAAAAAAAAAGAAACTGCAGTAGACCGTCTAAGATAGTTGCAAAGAGCAGAAAACACGCTATCGATTGGTGTATGACTTTCGTAAATGCTTTCGTCACAAACTCTCCGGAAACGTGGATTTTTATCGGAATAATTGAATTTGAATAAAAACGCACGAACTTATGCACCAACCCAATACTACATATGATGTTTGTGACGAAAGCATTTACGAAGAGACGAGCTGCAGATGCTGTATACTCGATCTCGGAAATTTTTTTACTCATTGTATAAAACTGATCATGTTTGCTGTAAGAGTACCGCCTATTCATGAGGATATGATTAACTTGATTATTATTCGCAATTAATTCGAAAATATTACGAGTTCAATATGATTAAATGCAGTTAACTTCGTCCTGTCGTTTTTAAAGTTGAATATATTCCTAATCGTTTGAATCATCGATAGAATATGAGAAATTTTTTCAAATTTCTATTTCAGTTGAACCTGTTCACCGTTGATTGCACCGAGACAATATGAATACGTTGAATATGTTCCTAATTCTTTCGGCTGAGTTAATCATAAATTGTTACTGTGCATGGCCTGATCCTTATGCAAAGACCAGCGGTGAAATATGGCCATTACCGCAACAAATTGAACGATACGAACGCTTTTGGTCAGTTGATGCAAGGAATTTCATCATTCAATCATCAATGAAATGTGATATCATTGATGAAGCGATTAAAAGATACACAACTCGCCTGATGAAGATGCAATCAAACTATAAGACGAGCTATATTCCTGATCAGGTTATCCATATCTTATTCACTTACTCATTATGCAGTTCAATGATTACCGTGTTCTCAAATAGTAAGAGAACTGCAGATGCGAATTCGAAAATAACGTCGATCGGTGTTTTTTTTTCAGTTTTTATTGAACTCTTACATTGCCTAGTTGTCCATTTCATGACTTCAATTTGGGCCTTCAATGTATTCTAGAAGTATGGGTTCAAATCCGTGGGCGTGAACAAAGTTTCATTATCAACAAGAGACACCTACCGTCCTCGACCAAAAAGAGCGAGAGATATAATTTCCTGAGATTCTTGTTGAGAGTGAGTTCCATCTGGAGCGGAAGACTTGCTAAGAGTTGTGCTCACTTGAGGAACTATAATACAACTTATAACTCGAAAAGAACGCACCTCGATTGTTTATTTCCTTTAAATTTTTCTCGCCCTCTCACCGAACGCCGGGTCGCATAAGCCCTTCAGTTTCCGCTCGTCCTCTTCATCGCCGCCAAGTTATTCATGCACCGCATAAGTAAGTTATTGACCCCCGTCGGATTTCATCACTCCTCCCGAAAANCGAGGTAATTTTAAGGTAAATGTTCTCAAATCGATTTCCTCATTTATAGGATCAGTTGAACAAACTGGAAATTATCGTCGAAGGAACATGTCCAAAGTGTGCGCCTCAACTCGGAATGGATGAAAGTTATAAACTTAATGTAACAAGCAGTGACGTTTTCCTTAAATGTGCTGAGGTGAGCAAAATTTTTGGAACAGCTCGGATTGTTCCTGAAAATAAGCATCTTTTACAGCAAGCATCGTTGATTTTCGGAGCGTGATTCTCGTTAGAGAGGAACTTCTTCGTAAGCAAAACTGATTTGGGTTAAAAATTCGAGTGCCATAGATGCGATATCGAATATCTTTCTAGGTATGGGGTGCGCTTCGTGGTCTTGAGTCGTTCATCCAATTGATCTATTTTAATGCTTCACAAGGACTGATGATACAAACTGCTATCATTAAAGATTTTCCACGGTTTCCTCATCGTGGTGTACTTCTTGACACATCCAGGTGAATTTAGGAAGTTTCAATTTGAATTCAGTCACAAAAAGAAGTAACAAAAGGGCGCGACTTTTGGGACTGGGAGTATAATTCAGCTATTCAATTAAGGTGTAATTTAGTTATTCAATTAACTAAAGTTAACAAATAAGTTTGAGATGAAAAATTTGCCAAAATATAAGAGGGAAGTGATAAGTTTGGATGGAACAGCCAGCGGAAATATGATCAAGTGTGTGGTATATTGGTGGAATGATCGAGATGACGAACAACTCATTTAAGACATTTTCTATCGACGAATGCACTAAAAGCAAATATCGAGTTGATGTCGCAAAACAAATTAAATGTTTTCCACTGGCACATTGTTGACAATGAGGCATTTCCATACGCATCAGAAGTGTTACCGTCATTGTCGAATGGTGCTTACACTCCCAAACATAAATACTCATTACAACAAATCAAGGTTTCTTTTCAGCTTCACCAAAATCTAAGTAAGTAAAAAAGAGCATCTTTAAGCAGTTGTTACTGGTCAAATAGCTGAATGCAGAGGAATAATTTGTTGTGCTGAATGCATTGATGATATCCGAATATTTCAAAGATCCGCAAGTTACGTCCGATAGAGACGAGTGGATTTTTTCTCCCTGACTTTTTAGGATCAATCGAAATTTTAAAATGAATTGAACTCTCATATCCACAATTATTCATTCACACCGGATTTGATTCACTGATTTGGCCTCCCGAATGAAACTCTGTTGGGATGATCATCTATTAGCGATTGTTAACAAGAGAATATAAATTTACTTCTGAATCGTCATCGTTATGTATTGTCCTCTAATCATTGCCTTCTTAGGTTCGATTTGATTCTGATTGTAAACCTTGTTGATCAAGCATCTCTTGACTTATTAATTCTATATTTTCAAGGATTTAATTGCGTATGCACGTTTGCGAGGTATTCGTGTTGTGGTGGAATTTGATACACCTGGTCATATGGCATCATGGGGCAAGGGCATACCTGATTTATTAGCAAAATGCTTTGATTCGAAAGGTAAGGAAATATCTGATCGGAGTCTATTCGATCCAACAGTCGACGAGAATTGGGACGTTATCCTAGCCCTTTTTGAGGTAGGTATATTTGACTCGCTTGAGATAAAGTAATTTCGGACGATTCAGACTAATCGAATAAAATGAATATTGAAAGTTGAGAATGTTACTGCATAAATGTTAATAGTAGAATGCAAACTGTAATGAACGGCGATAATATGAAACCTAATATGATAACAATAATTACAAGCATTTTATACTGCAATACTATTATTCAGTTAGGTGCTTTTTTTCACGACCGTTCGTCACTCCAACAATTTAATGTTCGGAAGCGACCCCATGCTCAGGAGAAGCCCTCTGACGGTTTTTAATGATTCATCTCACCTGTGAGTGAGGGAGGTTCTCTGAGAACGAGGGACCCCGCGATTTGTCGCAATGATTTATGTTCCTGCGGGGAATTTTTGCTCGGAGGAAGATTCGGGTGGGATGATTGGTCCAAATTCCGAACAACAAAACAGTTGTTACTTGCAATCAGGATGTTCGTTGAATCTATTGTGCATGTTCAACTTTCACGTGAACTATATGTTGCTATTAGATCATCGTTGAAACTATCAACAATTTTTCATATTAACACCAATATTATGTTTCGGTTTCATTGTCAGTGTATAAAAACCATCAAATCTATTACATCTACTATAAACAACACTAGAAGGAATTGCGAATATTATCATGTTTATTAATCGTAAGTATCTTTCCATGCTAGGAAGTCTTCCAAATATTTCCTGACAACAGTATTCATCTTGGTGGTGATGAGGCTCAGTTNTGGGTTCCACAATGTTGGGGACACAATCCAAATGTCACAAAATTTATGTCGGTAAGTCATTAGAGAATTATAAATCGTTGCGTCTTTATAGTTTGCCTTTCAAAAGTTATTTTTCACCTTCCATACAATGTTTATTTTTTGGGTTTTCAAGATGTTCAGATCAGATATAAAACGTTTTTTTTTTCAACTGAGAATTCAATTCACACCGGATTGAGATGAAAATACAGAAAGATGTCAATATTTATTCATCGTTGACGTTTCGGCTCCTTAAGCCATCCCTGATGTTTCGGATCTAAATATTTGGCTCTTAGCGGTATTGCAAACAAAATTATATACATCAAGAGTATATACTAGTTACTTCAACCGAAACATAGTTTTATTGCTAAGTATTGAAACATGCATAAAAGTAAAAAGTATTGTTACATCGCATTAAAAAGTATAAAGTTATGATAAAAGTATTATACTCGTGAGAATCAAATATTCAAATCATTCTCGAAACCATCGAGTTCTCTTAATGTGCTGCTACAAATAAATCAGTAGTTTTATGAACTATGCACGATTTTCTGAAGCAATCATTTCTGATGCTATTGATCTTGATATGTGTTTATAGCTATACGAATTGAATACGACACGTGATCTTCAAGAATGGTATTTTGAAAAGCTTGTCAATATTCTCAGTGATTCGCACAAAACATTCATCGTTTGGCAAGTGAGTCTTAAATCTTCTTATTTTTAACACCAAAAAACCTTAATTGGAGAGCAATATTCGTACAATACTGTCACTTTTGAGTTTATGATCACATTCGAGTCGACACATAATTTCTTATTTAATCTCATCAACAGAACAATAAAGTGTGAATGAAATAATAGGAAGTGTTAGATATGGGAATTGAAATAAAGAACGGAATATCTCAAGTGTGGAGAGGTGCGACCAGAACAGAACAAATGCAGGCGATGGCCGACGTGACATCAAAGGGACATTATGCATTATTGTCAGCTTGTTGGTATCTTGATTATATACACACATCTGCTGACTGGATCGATTACTACATGTGTGATCCGCAAGTATCATATTGCTAAATTCATTGTATATCTTCTTAAGCAGATCTCTAGGAACGATCATTTATGAGCAGCATTCATAACAGTTATTCGTAAATATTGGTATGTTTATTAAGAATGCCACGAAATTAAGGGATTCAATGGTTCAGTCATTCAAAAAAATCTAGTATTGGGCGGTGAAGCGGCATTGTGGGGTGAATGGGTTGATGAGAGTAATGTGGTGTCTCGATTATGGCCTCGTGCTTCGGCTGTTGCCGAACGACTTTGGAGCGACAGCAGTCAAACTAACGATCCATCGGTGGCATGGCCCAGGTTGCATATACAGTCTTATTTTGAGAACCTCAACAGGCTGAATGTTACGAGAAATATTCAAATTATCTTTCAAAAACGCATTCATTTTCAGTGTGAAAATGGAATTTTTTCACCTGATTCTGTCGCTTTCAACGTCCCGTTTGTATTTGAGAATCGAATTCGTTTATTAATTGTTTACGTCGAATTTCATAATGTAGTCGGAAATCATGGTTTTAGATTATATGAAATGCAGTGCAGAATGGCAGCACAAGGTTATCCTGTCCAACCAGGCTATGGACCTGGATTTTGTGCCGTTGAATATCACTCTGAGTTACCAGTCTGATTGAAAGAACGATAATCGATTTATGAAATGATCAAATAAACACCGTCGTCAGAGGAATGGTATCCGACGAACACTATGATAAATGAAAAAGATATGATGTGTATTCATAGCTTAATTATCTTTAAATGATGAAGAACCTCTTAAAGACCCTCATTTCTTTCGTTAAGACCTTCCCTTTGCGATCATTCCTACTTTTGCTTTTCCAAACCCCCTTAAGCCCTCCAGCATTTTGTGCCATCAAAAAAAATATGCCAAAAAAAGGGTTTTACTGAAGTTTATCGATATTTTCAATGGAGATGATGATACACCTCATAGAAGTGAACTCTTCTCAAACTATTTTCGTATTATTGGAAGTTCAGGATTACTTTATGATTAGTTTCCATCGTTACTTGTTCAGTTAGTATGAAGTCTATTCTGATGACTAATTTTACATTCATAAAATCGATATAACGTTTTCTTTCACTTATTGTTCTTTGTTTTGATCNATGTGATGCAATTTTCATAAATAAACAACATTTATCTGATGTGACACAAAATAAATTATTAAAACAATTGTGAAAGCATGTAGTAAAACGATGGTGCAAATATGGACGAAGCAACGTTATATTGAAAAGAGTAGTTGCTTGGTCTAAATTTAATACGCCTTCCATTCAGCGGTTGTGTTGGACGGACATTCTCACCGATTCTACCCGATGCGAATCTAACTTGTCTCAATAGATTAAGCTGCAATATGAAAATGGATTAACTGAGCCGATAATGGATGAATTGCCATAACTTAATATGAGTAAAACCTTTGCTTGGCTCAGAATCGTCGAAGAACAATTTCTTATAAAACTGAATCAGACATTATCTTCATGTGTTATTTATATGATATGCATTGAAAGCTTGATAGAAACTTCATTCATCATAGTATCATACATAGTTGATGCTTATGTTATTCAAATGGTATTTATGGATTCACGTCATAGTTATTATCATTGAATTTATTCACCGATGTTGTGGAACTCAACGAAGAAATCCAGTAAAAGGATTGCGAATAACCTGTTGGGGAGTGATTGATACATATTTGGACATAATTGTCCATACCACTGCCTCATCACATCCAGGCGTTGTGAGTGATCCGTCATAGCGATAAAACGTTTCCAAATCATCCGGTAGGATTGGCATTGGTTGATAGCCATCTTGTGATGTACTTTTACCTTGAAAGTTGTTGTTGCATGCTTATTATTCAGCATATTTTTTCAGAATGTTTACCATATGGAGCAATGCTTCTTAAAGTGTGGGTGGAGATCTCAAATGCGATCGCGAAGCGGAATGCTGAGGTCGTGAAGATTAGATTGAATCACTTCAATTTCAGTTTATATGTTATCGTTCTTGAGACATTATTTTTGTACTTGAAATAATCCCTAAAACTACTTTTATTTTGACAAATAATACAGCTAATTTTTTTGATACGTATAATGCTTTAAAGGGTGATTATTCGTATGTTCTATTTCATATTTAATACTTGGAATCACGAAAAACCCAGTGATGAAAGAGAGTGCTGATGTTGATACGAGCAAATCAAAAATAAGAATTAAATCAAGCTTAATAGCACTTCAGGAGTTAAAAACTGGCATGAGAGTTGATTACAAGCCTTTTCAGTGATCATAAATCAGAATGACTTCTCATTTCTCGATGCTCTTCTCAAATCCAAAAAATTATCGCAGCGATTTACGGGAATCATTTGCATCACTTCAATGATTTACGGAGATAGCGAAAGGTAACTGCGCATTGTTGATAGTTGCTCTTGGAACTAGTGTTCATTGGAGAGCAGTTTTTCGGACCGGGCGGGGAGTGACCCACGGGTAGAAAACTGGACCAGAGGGGGGTCCCCGTAAAAAAGTCAGGGAACAAATTGCGTGGGGGTACCCCGTTGGGGAATGACCGCTCCCTGTGTTCCCCGATGGGGAGGACGGAGAGCATTTCAGCTCAATTTTTTTATTAGAATTTCAATTCTTAAAGATTTTTCTTCTTTTTTAAGCAGTTTTTTAAAAAATTCCGTTTCACCTTTTATATATAACTTTCCCTTCCGATGTACACCTTTGGGAGTGAAATGAAAGCGTTTATCAACGATAATGCGCTCACGACTACAGCTTTAAATAACATGTTGCTACCATTCAAAAACCTCACAATGTTACTTGTTCTAACACATATTTATTGAAAAAAAAACAAGTGTGATTCAATATCAATAAAACAAAAACAGCACCGTTGGTTTTATTTTATTTCAATCTCTATCTCATCAGTTTTATCCTATTTTATCATCTCCAATATCGTATCTCTTTTACAGTAACTCACGCCCCCAATAATACGATCCCG